GAAATCATTGTATTTCATAAGCTATAGTAAATGAAATTTCATTTTCCATTCCAAATTGTAAATAATGCGAAGCTTCCACAGAATGAGAAGGATGACATTATAGCTATTGTTTGATGAAAGAACATTCCAGTTACTTTTGGAACAATTTGTTAGTTTTGCTCAAAGTGATATCATAAAGAATTTAACGATTTGTTATTGTTATCGTTGTTGCAAAATCATTTTTGATAGGATGGCATAAAAGCACAGAATGAGACAAAAACAAAACTTCCATTAACACCACAAATTTTACTGTCTAATAAAGCTTGTTAATTATCCTTAATTGTTTCTAACTAATGAAGCAATTTATCAAACTAGCGGATACGGAATCACTGTCATGAGAGAGAGGCTTATGAGCCCTTATGAGAATGTAAGCAATGCTAATACGATGGCTTATGTCTCCGGTAGGGTCTCTCATGCCAGAGATGTCTCAACTGAAGAGTCAGACAAAGTGTGTGCACGAGCGGGATGGGCTCGTCAGTTCGCCTCCCGAGAAGGACAACACAAATTCTAAAAGAAGGACACTCCAACAAAATCTATCCTTCTTGCAATGAAAAAATTCTCCATTCAGGAAATGAATTATCCAAATGATTTCGGTATTATAACATCCACAATGATTTTCAATAACTCCAAGCAGTGTTATGTGTAAGAAAAACATTTCGGGCTGCAGTTGAACAGTACTTCCAAGCAGTCGTAATTAACATAAGTATTCTAAAATGGTTTAGTGATGTTGTATGGAAAAATGGTACCTCCTTTTCATTATCTTCGTTGACATCAGAGTTTCTAAAAATGGAAGTAGAAGACCGATACTGATTTTGTGCAATTATATTGCCCTAAAAGATGTTTGAAAGAATCGATTGCTACAGTTATGAAATCAGTTTGATAATTTGGAGTTGAGGAAGACTTGTAAAAAGTTTTAGACGAAATTTGCAATAATGGAGTAGTCAGAACTCGTAAGCAGTGCTCTCGGGGATTCTAGAATATTCTCTACATTACCGGATAGCAAGGTAGAACTGGTTGCAGTATGCAATGCACCTATAACCCTGCTGTCCAGAACATTAATTCCGTTTCTCAATAATTCTGCAGCTCCATATTAGGAATTTGTTACGAATTACGAATTAGCCCCACAAATTTCAAAACATTGACCATAGAAAATTCCAGAACAAGAAAAATTACAACTAACCTTAGTTAACAAACCATTAAGAGCATCCATTTTAATAAAACACTTAGGAATAGCAAAGGAATGAATTACATCATTAGAAGTACAATAAATACCTAAATTAGTCCTTACAGGTAAAACACAACGATTATCAACATCAAATAAACGAAAATCACCAATATCCAAATCATCTATAGATTTTATAAAAGAATCAAAACATAACTTATCACTATCCCCATATTCATAACTTCAATATCATCGATGATCAATCACCTTCAAAGTTAATTCAGATTGACGAAACATACGCCCCCTGATATTAAACCAACCAAAAACCAGAACCAGCTATAACAACTAAAAAATTAAAACCACCAATACTTGTAATACTAACTCAACCATACGACTATCATTACGCTTAGAATTAAACTTAAAAGAACTCCCATGAAAATAAACTCCAATCATAACTAAACACATAAAAAAAACCAAAAAAATAATATGGAATAATAATTATGGATATAATAACAACAAAAAACACAAGGACTATAAGGAACAGGAAATACATCATTTTACAAATAAATCACTAGCTCAAAAACCTTATATTTGGAAAACAAAAATACTAAAATTATACTAAAAAGCCAAAAAAG